GCACCCAACTGCCACCTCCCACGCAAGTGGGAAGTGTGCATCTCGACTCGGTCCCCATGCGGCTTCGGCTGCACGGGTGACTTGAGTCCGAGACTATCCCGACACGTCAAGCGTCGTGGATAGGAAGGTTGCTGATTGACGCCCGCTCTCGGTTCACGCAGTTCGTCGCGTTGTGTGTGTGTATGTTGTGTGGAGTGGCGGACTGGTGGGCTGGGGACGAGCTGAAACAGCACCTTTCACGGCCCTCTCACGCACGTGAGAGACACGCCGTTCAACCCCCGTTGTGTGAAATCCTGGTGTTTGTGTGTGTATGGGGGGCCAGGTCGTGCTGTGGTGCGCGCAGACATGGTCAGTCGACCATGTCAGCCACCGCGCCCATTCCCCACTCCAGTCTTCTGACCGGCTCGGACAGCGGCTGGGGTGTGGGGATGGGAAGGGAGAGTGAGGTCGACGACTCAGCGCACTTTCTCCTCACTATAAACAATCTGACGCGCTTGAAGCTATCACGGTGCGCTAAAAGCCGTGGCTTGGAAGGTTGCCAACTGACGGGGTACCTTGGACCTCCTCCTTCACTGGAGGCGGTCTGAGAGTCAGGCTGCAATGGCTCCTTTTTAATGTGGCCTTTATGGCATTCCCACCACAGTGTGGGATCCGAGCCAGGCGTTGGCCGCACGCCCAGGTGCGGCTTCGGCCGTGCCAGCCTCCAAATCTCTGTTGTGTTGGTTGAAATCCTGGTTATTTGTTGTGTGGACCAGGGGGTGTGGTGGAACGCCAAGGTCAGGATCCGTCCGAGCCATCCACCTGCGGCCTCCCTCGTCTCCGGTCTTCTTGACTCTGTCTTGACACCGGGTCCAGGCGGGGGAGGAGGAGAGAGTGTAGGTAGATGCTACGCAAGTCTACCGGCACTATAAACCCCTGCGTAAGTCACCGTCCCTGCTCCCATTGCTGCTGCAACTGTGGGGCACACGGTGGACATCATCGAAACCGATGGTCGAACTGTCACCAATTTAACGACCCTGACATTACTTGCGACAGACTATAGGAGTTAGAGAATTCATTCCGTAAGAAAACATTTCTTCTGAGGTGACATATAGTCATCGACCATTTCCACCTGCTGTATTAACAACGAAAGTGTTGGGCCGCCCAGCTACGAGGCTGGGAAACATTTCCAACATCAATATCTATCTGATAATTTGCTCGCGAGGGAAGATATGTGGTGAACCTGGCCGATATGTGAATTGAGAGTATCCGGAGATGGGCAGTTATAAAAGTGTACAGTGAAGATGTACAGAATAAAAAAGTTTGAAGTTCAGAGCAAAAAATGAGGAAGAGTCAGGAAAATGTTCGGGTATTGAAATGACAGGAGAAATGACTACTAAGCCAGATAGAATTCTGGCGACTTAAAATTGACGATACTTGTGTTGTTCAAACTCACCTTTCCTTATGTCCAGTTCAAAACTGAACCGGAAAAGAATAATGAGCTGGCTTTTCCTCCTTTGTGACAATCATG